GATTATGTCCCCAAAGTTTCAGCCCTGTAGCTTTTGCCGGTCTCGAGATGAAAAATCGGTACAGGCAGACACACAGACGCACAGACACACAGACACACACTAACACGCACACAGACAACCTCTCGTCAGTATGCGTTTTCTGCATTGCATGGCTGCAAAAAACGCATAAAGAATAATAATCGGCCAACGCACGGGCAGCCTGTGCGAAGATGCACTTTTGCATGGCTCCCCGCAGATACTGGTCGCTAACAGGCTGATTTTCCCTGCAGATGCTTCTGGCTAAAAGAATTTAAGATTGGCCGCCAGAACTGTCAGAAAACGTCCCCTTAAAATTTCAATTTTCTAGCTTCCCTGGCACTTGAGTTAGCAATTTGCTGGAACAAAATTTTCACGGGCCTGTGCACGTTTACCAAGCATACCTGAGAGCTGGTTTCGAGCTGAATGGAACATAAGTGGACGGGGTATCCTCTTAAAAGTACATTCCTTTAGCTTCTCAGGTACTTGAGTTATCAACTTACACGGAAAAAATTTTGGCGGGCCCGTATGGGGGTGTCACGCTTACCGGGGGGCTGGGTTTGAGGCCACTAATACTCACTGGGCGGGGAACATTACCGTAAGTTTTTGGCCTTCTAGCTCCTCAGATCCCTGTGGTATGAATTCACCCGAAAAAAATTTTGGCAGGCTCGTACGCGGGCACCACGCTTACCCGGGGGCTGGGTTTGAGTCCACTAATACCCACTTTGGCGAGGAACACTACCCTAACATTTCAGCCTTCTAGCCTCTCAGATTCCCTAGTTATGAACTTACCCGAAAAAAATTTTGTTGGGCTTGTACGCGGGTACCACGCTTACCCAGGAGCTGGGTTTAAGCCCACTAATATCCACTTGGACGGGGAACATTACTGCAAGATTTCAGCATTCTAGCTTCTCAGATCCTCGAGTTATGAACTGACCCCAAAAAAACTTTGGCGGGCCCGTACGTGGGGCCAAGCGGGTTTTGGCGCCCATTTTTGGGATTGGGGCCGGCACTTGCATGTAGATTAACTCCCCAAAATTCCAGCCCCGCAGCTTTCATAGGTCCTGAGATGAAAGTGCGTGACAGACACACACAAACACACGGACACACAGACCTCTCGTCAATATGCGTTTTTCGCATTGCATTGCTGCAAAAAACGCATAAAAATCCAAAATTCGGCATTCCACAACAGATTGGCTTCTTTTTTTGTTTTTTCTTTTTTTAACGATTTAGGTGCAGTTTAATATTTTTGATCTCAGTTATTATGGCTTTTTGCTTGGTTTCTTACTGAACACTAGCTTCGACACATCTCTGATTATAAATGTTGAATGTTAATTCACTTCAGGAGGATGCAAAAGGGGTGATTGCGCGTAGAGCTGGCGCAAGTTTTGCAACAATGCGATTGAAAAAACTAAAATTGAGTGGTTCGATGACTGAGAATGGTGATATGGATGTTGCTGTAAGCTTAGGAGTGTTCATAATGGACGATGAACGGCGAGAAAGAACCAGAGTGCGACGTCTGCTGGATAAAAAGGTTGTGATGCACTTGATTGTCTTTTTTTTCCAGCTCTCACAGGTGATACCAGCGAATTTTGATTATACTTGCGAGGTTGCTGAAAACAGTTGTTGATGCGTAGTTTGGACTCCATGCATGACACCATTAACTTTTCCATAGGTTGCGGTCTAAGAACGGGAGAAATCCAGAATAGCAGGGAAGAGGATAATGAGGAAATTCTGGTAATGGGCGGAAATATTAAGTATGCCCAATAGAACACTGTTCGGATCAAAAACAGTGATATTTTTTATTAATTGTCATTAATTATGACTTTTAAATATGGTATGTTTTAATCATTATAGACATTTATTGAATATGTGCGATATCGCTAATTACTATTTCGTTTTATTTATAAATTATTATTAAATATGATATTTGTGAGGACTGGAATAA